TCGCGCTCGCCAGCATCCTGCGCGCTTGCTGGCGCGTCCGTGTCTATCGTGCGCTTGTCGCGCATGTCGCCCCTTTCAATCCTGCCCGCATTGTGCTTCAGCGTCCCACGCGTTGCGCCCGACACTCCTACTCCTTCTCAGTCTGGGCCTCCCCTCGCGTACCTGCCAACCGCGCGCCCAGCTCATCCCGCACTCCTGTCGTCCACTACTTCGCGCGTACCGCTAACGCCCGCGGCCTGCTCGACTGTCGTGCACCCTCGTACTCCCAGTGCTACCCGCGTGCGCTCCTCATCGCGTTCCTCGACCCGTGCACCAATCGCCCGCGTATCTCTTGCTCGATCACTGGACCAATTGTGCGCATCAAGTCCTGATGCGCGCTGCTGGCTCGCACCTGCGTTCATTGGCCCATAACAATCCCCCTCGCGCGCCATCCGCCTATTCTCCAAGCGCCATGCGCGTCTACGCCAATGCGCGTGTGCGCGCCTTTGTCTACTGCCTTGTACGTGCCACTTCTCATGTGCTCGAGTGCCCCGCATACGATCTTGTACCCGTCTTTTAGGCCATGCATACGTCGTTTTGGCCCTATTTTCAGCCTCCTCGGGTCGTCTCGGCGCTTGGAACTTCTCGTCGTCGCGGGTCAATACCCACTTACGCATCATTCCCGCCCCCTTTGAGAATGTCCTTGTCCTCAAGGACTCATCCTTGACCATCCAAATCTCGAGAACTCTTTCTTCGACCATGCGCATATCCCACTCACGGTCCTCGTCGACTTGTACCAACACCTCGCTATCATCAACGACCACCTCTTCATTCGTACCGTACTGCGCGTGCGTCACCTCATCATAGCCTCCATAGCCCACGACCCAGATCGCACCAATGACCTCGGCCAATTCGACTTCTTTGGATCCGACCAAGGTTCCCTCGACTTCAACCTCGACAAGGTATTCCTTGGGGTATACATTGAGAATAGGAGATTCATCTAACCTCATCGAGACTCGCTCACCCATGCGCTCGGCTTCTTGCTCGCACAATCCTGGGAACTTCTCATCGGCCTCGGCTTGTTGCTCTTCCTCCATGATCTTGAGTTGTCTTTCATACTCCTTCTTTTTCTCGTACATATCCTCCAAATATTCTTGCTCCCAAGGGGTTAATTCCCTCTCCTATCCTTCCAAATATTCAAGATCTTCTTGATCCCACTCAACTAATGGCTCGAACAACATTGTCTCTTTTTTTTTTTTGACTCTAAAAGTTCGAACAAAAAATTCGAACCCAAAAAATAAAACAAAGAGAAATTTGGCCCCTCAACAAAAGGTAATAACCGAACAAAAATCAAACAAAGGACTAACAAGATGACACTTTTTTTTTCTTTTTTAAGACTCAATTTTGAAAAAATAAGGGAAATTTCGAAAAAA